GTTGGAAAATGAAATTAAAAAGTGGTGACAGATAACCCACAAGTACCAAAGTCATAGTATACTGTAGTATGTCAGAAAAATATCAGAAACATTTCATAAATATCTGAAAAAAGTAATGGTAGACCTATAGTATGTTAAAAAAAAAATCATATGTTGGAAAATATCAGAGTAATAAGTAACAAAGTAGGCTAACATGTTGAATGATGTTTAGTATGTGAACAAAATAGTCATAGTATTTTATGTAGAAAACATGTCCAAGTAGGCTATATGGTACATTATAGTAAAACATATCACATACAAATTGTCATGTCAGTCAAATCAAGTAGAAAGTATATTTAAAAACTATGGTAGGCTATAGTAGCCTATGTGAAAAAATTCCGTCAAGTCAGTGGTTCACATGACATGGATGTTTTCCAACAAATTAGACTTTTAAACAAAAACTGCTGAATGTGTGTCGAACTCCCCACAGTAAACTCACTTTACCAACATGTATTACTGGGAGGTTGACGCCCCAACGCTCGGAGCTGAGGGGCCACATCCCACTTCACTCCCGGGTCTTCCTGGGTAACGGGTCACTTTGGAGGAAGACAGCTCAAAAGGAGGCACTATGACGGGCAGCATCGCGGGAATCGAGAGGTTTGACAGTCCGGGTAAAGGGCGAGGTCTCCGCGTTACTAAGCCCTTTAAAACTGGAGAGCTGTTGTTTTCCACTCCTGCGCACTCTTATGTTCTGTCAGTAAAGGAGAGAGGCTGCTACTGTGAGTTCTGCTTCACCAGGTAAGTGACGGGTTATTTTAGCCATGCCTGCTATGACAAAGTATTTGAGTGTCATTTGATAGTTAAAAAAGTGTTTAATTTGCCTATACATTACTGATGCAGAATCTCAATTTACCAAATGTCTTAATGAGTAAGTCTCTATAGCCTACTATTCACTACCAAGCACTGCACCATATAGGCGTCTTGTCGTAAAAACGTCACTCAAATAAATCTATTTTGGTTATCTAGTTCATAGATCATGTGTCTATATGTGTAACCTCTCAGAACCACTGTAGCCTACGAGTATTTATGAATACAGTGAACATAAGCTTAAGATGCTGTTACCTGAGTAGCATCATGATTAATACAGTTTATTTCATCTGCAGCTACATTGTGATTTATGGATGGGTTTCAAATAGCAAGGATAGCTCTGGTATACAGTATATTGCTGACACAAATCAGTTATTATACATTTGAACAAATTATACATACAAGTGCATATATATTCTCTTGAAATCATTTCAAATGACACGCAGCATCATCAATTGTTTAATCATAAGTCACGGTGCACATTTCATGATCTCCTCCAGCATGCTGTGCGTTAAGAAAGGTGATGTGGATGGCATGAAAGAAATGCAGAAGATTATAACTTTAAGACAAACTCTCAAACACATCTTTACTTTGGGCTCGCACACATTGCTAAGTTCTTATGATTAAATAAAATAAACTGATTGCAATAATATAAATTCACAAAAGGCAAACCTAAGATAAAAGGTTCAAATTGCATCATGCAAAACGTAACGAATACTTTTTACTAAAAGGTTTATTTTAAAATGTGACAACTCCAGTCGCTTTTATGACACGTTTAAGTTATACAACTCAATCAAAATGCTGCCAGTTACTGCTATGGGCTATTTCTGGGAAACTTGCCACTTTCAAAATGAAATAAATATTACTAAAAATAACACTCTAAAATTGGTATTTTGTGTGTTTTTCCCCCTGCAATTATCACAGTATTTCTTGACACAGCTTTGACTTGGTGTGTAGGATGATTGTCCATCAGTAGTAACATTGTGAATATTACGTTTTCTTTTAAAAACACAGGATTTTACAAAACACAGACATAGACAACACTTGTAGAGAATTAACTTTGTGTGTTTCAGCTCTCTTTAATTGGATACTCTGCACATATTGCAGAATACATGACTGTGAGAGTAAATCATTAGCGTGAACCTCTGTATCATACCTGCGCCCTACATAAGGAAGTGTTCTCCCAGCTTTAGCCTGTCATGTTTCACAACACAGTTTGCTTGACTAGGCCTGACTACTAAATAGCTAGAGTTTAAACATGAAATGTGTGGTCTGTTGGACTGCTTCACTATTCAGTGAGGTAGAGAGACAGCTGCCCCTACACAATGCCAACTCTATTAATACCACAGAATGTTTTAAACCCTTCATTGCTATCAGTTACGACGGGCCACCAGCAACTGCTGCTTCTTGTCTCAAAGTAACGGAGGATGTTTATTTGTCCGAACCCACACTTACACACTTAAGCAGCTGCAGACTCACATTCAAGAACATTCTCAGATACAGACATTCACAGTGTTGGCTATATGTGGATCAGTCTTTTGTATGCAGGTTAATAGGCACATCTTTTATTTTTGTCGTACCAGGACATGATAGAATCTTTCTGTATGTTTTTAATTGTATTCTGTTTTCAATCCATGAGCTAATAGACCCGTTTTTTTGTCATGAATAGGAAAGAAGGCCTGGCAAGATGTGGGAAATGCAAGAAAGCCTTCTACTGCAATGCCAAATGCCAGGTATGAGAGTGTAAGAGGGGAGACTGTGCAGAATGACTGCAGTGTAATGATTCCTGAAGGGGATGAACCCTTGTGATGTAGGTCAGTGGTACTTGACCAGGGGGTCCTGACACCAAAGGGGGTTGGGAGACAATTTCTAAACATAGACTGGGTTACCCAGAGTTAGACTGGGTAATGTTTTTTACTGATAAAACTGAACATAAAAAAACCTCTCATCCCTCTTTGTGACTGTCCTCTCACTTCCCTGTCATTTCCCTTTTGTCTGTGGATTGCAATAATGGGTTGGAAATGAATCATGAAAAGCCAACAGGCTAAGAAACTGTGACATAAAGGTGTTCAGGATGTTGTGTGTGAAATGTCTGAATGTTATTTGGGATCCTATGATTTAGTTTTTCTGCTGGGTGGATGGATCTGTTTGCATGTGGATGGTTAAAGGGGTGAGGGTAACACTATAGCTCAACACAGTGAGGAGTCACATCCCACTGACGGCTTGAAGCTTCAGATGGTGCTAGTGTGGCTCAGGGGCCGTAAACGCCAACTGTTCGGCCTTCTGTTGTGGTGAGACCTAAACTGTAAATAGTTGGCTCTACCACAGGTTTTTAATCGGCTTCAAACTACATGTTTGCTCTTTTGTGTGCTGTTATAATATGTATGTGTGTTTTTGTGCAGAAAGGGGACTGGGCAATGCACAAACTGGAGTGCTCTGCCTTAACTGCTTTTGGAGAGAACTGGTGCCCGTCAGAAATATCCCGCCTCGTGGCCCGGATCCTCGCCAAGAAGGTAGGAAAGTTAATAAAAAGCAGCACAACTTTCTGAAATGTTTTGTCTCGCACATCCTGTGGTTCATTGAGCTCATATCTGTGTTTCACTGATTTGTTTCTCACAGAAAACGCAGAAAGAAAGATGTGCTTCGGAGAAGATGTTGCTCATAGAAGAGATACAATCACGTAAGACATTGCGTCTTGAACACACATGCAATCCTATTTTGTGATTTCATTTTTTCTTTTTGGGAACAACCCTTACCCTTCCCCATAGGGTGTTCAGCGACTCCGATAGATTCTACTTCACTCCTAAGTGTCCACAGATATCCCTCTTAAAAAAGTACAACCTATTCAGATTAGAGAGAAGGAAACACCAACAGCCACATCTATATATATCATATGGAATGGCCATTAGACAATGTAACATGTGTAACAACTTCAATGAGAAACAGGAGCACTTCAGACTCACAAACAGGGCTGCCTACACAAGTGTCTGTAAGTTAAATGGTGTTTAATTGACTAAGTCATAGTTAAAGGTCCCCTCTTATGAAAAATGCACTTTTTGATATCTTTTATACAAAAATATGTGTCCCTGGTGTGTCAGGAGACTCACAAAATAAAACCCTCTCTCTTTTCCTCCGTACCCAAATCTCTAAAAACAGGGGTACGAAGGTACTGATCCAGATTTGCTGCGGTCATGACATAATATCGGAAATGTGGGATGGCTTTTGCCCACGGCCCTATCAGAAACGTCGCTATCAGAAACAATGCGCGACGTGTTTTGGAAGTAATATGGTCTTTGTTTACATTAGCATCGCTAACACTCAGAGCTAACCTGTACTGGAAAGAGTATGTGTAAAGGAGCAGGATATGTTCACCTTGTGGTAAACCTGCGAGAGAAAAAGCTTTTTAGCTCCAGACTGTTTCAGAAATAATCCTTGATGTGCTTTGGAACATAATATGGTGTTTAATCACAAATTTAATTTAAGTTTAATCATTTAGCTGAGTATCTGGGTAGAATTCTCCTACATGAGCTCTCCTCTCTTTTTCTTTTTTTAAAGCTATAATCAGCACTTCTGGGAAATAGAGGGGTATGAGGCATGGCTAGAATGCGTGATCTGTTTGGTATTTTGAGCAAAACACTTCATAGACATGTTTTCTGGACCTATAATATATGCTTCAAAATGTTATAATAGGAGACCTTTAAGGTTCAGTTCAAAATCTGAAAATAAATTCTATTGACTGTCTATATTTCATATGTCTATATGTTTACACAAAAAGAGTACCGGTAGTTAGCTTATAAGACCTCTGTAGCTCGGCGTTATCATAGCGACTTGATGCTACATTAGCTGGGGACAAAAAGCCTGGAATAAGAAAAATATTATTACCACATTTTGCAAATATTATTTCACCTTGTAAGCTCAATAGCAATGTTAGCAGTTAAAACAGGATGAGGTTGGTTAATCATAGATAGGTTTAAAGACAAACTGAAGTGCAAGATTTTCTCAACGGTAACTCTTTTATGTCATTAAATTGGTAACTTGATTTCCTAAAAATGACCCAAACTAGTTTTTCATGAGTTAAAGTCAATCATAGTCTAAAATGATTTCTGCAATGCATGCCTCCCTGTTTAGCAAGAGATGAATCGTTCAATCAACCAACATGTCTGTCCCTCTTCTTCTAACAGATGAGGAGGACGTAGATAACGAGAAAAGAGAGATGAACGAGTCCGACATTGCCGGACTGCATCGATTTTTTACCAAACATTTAGAGTTGCCCAACCATAAAGACCTCGTCACACTTTTCTCTCAGGTACTACTACTACTTCACACACACACACACACACACACACACACACACACACACACACACACACACACACACACACACACACACACACAAACATAATTAGTCATCTGAAGTTATATGATTTCACGTAAAATAGGCAAAAGATTAGTCGTATTTACATTGTTTTACTCTTTACTCCTCTTCCGTATGTCATTTATCCAACAGGTGTCCTGTAATGGTTTCACCATAGAAGATGATGAACTGTCCCACATGGGTACTGCAGTCTACCCAGAGTAAGAAGAAAAGCTCACATGCATAAAAGCAGATTTTAATCCTGTGCTATTTCAACAACACCTTTAAAGGTACAGAATGTTACAGAGTATCTTCTTCCCTCCTCACACAGTCTCTTTTCTATTTCTAAATGTCTTAGTAGTGTTTTTCTGTTATTTGCTTCTTTGGAGATCTGTAAGTTGCCTCATTTTATTTTTGGTTATCTGATTTGAACCACAGCTCTTCATCTTGAATTTAAAAAAAATACTGGTTAACAATGGCCATATACAGTATTACTCTATTGCTAAATGCTACAACTAAAGGGTCAGTATTCAGAGCATATGTAACAGACTTCCAAAGAAGCCGGAGATCTTAAAACTTGCAGTGAGAAAGGGATTTTGCCCTGTCAGCTCCTTTTGATGCTATTTCCAGCTGCCGCCAAGATTAAATACATGGTCACATATTTTAGGAACACTCAAGACCTCTCTCAGTGCAGTAGCAAAGTATTAAAGCACTTTAAAATTAGCAATCTATTTCATTCATAGTAACAATAAGTTGGCAATTCTTATTGCTTCTTTAAATGACAAAACATTTGAGCTAGGATTTTAATTTGTATCTTTCCTTTTTGTTTCTGTCTCTCCCCAGTGTGGCATTGATAAACCACAGCTGTCTTCCCAGCGTCATAGTCACATACAACGGGACGTCGGCTGAGATTCGGGCGGTGAAGAACATGCAGCCTGGAGATGAAGTGAGGAAAGGGGACAGCTGTCATGAGAGGGGGTTGGGTCAAAGTGTGTGTGTGGAGAAAGGAGCTGTGTCTATTACGAGAGTGTGAAACGTGTCTGTCGGTGATGCTCCATACAACACAATTTGCAGCCTGAGCCAAATCCAAATAAAAAAGAGTTACTAAACTACTTCTGAAGTAGTAAATAACAAAAATGCTATATTAAAATGACAAAATACTTCATTTTCCAGTAATATTTGAGAATTGACAAGATATCTACATTTTGAACTTCCTGGAGTCTTGTCTTTAAGATGCCACAGGTTACTTTCGTGTAGGAATTAGGTTGTTACTTTAGCTGTTGCCCTGTTCCAGTCTAAGCTATTCAAAAAGGCTGCTGCTGTTAGCTTTTTATTTACCATAAAGACATGAGAGTAGTGTCAATCTTCTCATCGATACCTTCTGCAAGAATGCGATCAACCAGATTTGTCAAAATGTCAAATTATTCCCTAAAATTTGGAAATAAATTAGAATGTTTTGAATCTAGTATATACAGAGGTAATAATATATTATGGTTGAGAAAGTAGTAAAAAATGGGATAGGAGATGTCAACTTGTGAGAAAGTCAAAGACAGGCTTTGGTATTAGCAGCATGACCTCTGGTGTACAGTATGACATGACATCTGTTGCTCAGTACTGTGTGGTATTCAGCAGCTGATTGAAGAGACTGTGGGGCTATTCTCAAACTGACCCTGCAACTTCTAGTTAAGGATCTATCTGGGAGTAAATTGAGACATTCAAGTCAAAGGAAATCTGCAATAAAGGGGAGTTTGCACTATTAAGGATTCTTTCATGATGTGTGTTATTCCTCCCTCTATAGGTGCTCATCAGCTACATCGACCTGCTCTATCCAACAGACGACCGCAACAACAGGCTGAGAGAGTCTTACTACTTCTCCTGTGACTGCCAGGAATGTAAGACAAAGTCCAAGGTAAGACACCACAATAAGTGCTCATACAATCATTCAGTTGCCGTTCTAATTCCTGTGTAAAATAAGAAACAAAGTCTTACGGTTTGGTTGATTAATGTCCTCTCTGTCCTGTCTTTTCCTGCAGGACAAGGCAAAGTTAAAAGCACGTAAGCGCAGTGACCCCATAGAGCCAGAGGTCATCAGCAGCATGGTGCGCTACGCCAGGAAAACCATCAGAGAGTTCCGGGCTTTCAAACAGATAAAGAATATCCTTTTAATGGCACTTAATAACAACTCTTGTGTTGCACTTATTGTGCATAACCTGCTGGTACATCCAGTGACATTCTTCAGTCAAGTCTGATTATATCATCTCAGGCACTTTGATGTTTCAAGTGGAAACTTCCAGCTCTAAAAAGTGCAGTGCCAGTGATAGCCAGCAGGGGTTGTCACCACTGCCCGCAAAAATAAGTAAGATTGTATAGAAGTCTATGAGAAAAAGCTATTTTTTTTTTATAATTTTCCTTCCTCAGAAAAACATTTTCCTAATGAGTTCATTGTCTAAAATCAGTTTGTAACTTCTCCATTATATCACGGTGTTCATTTAGTAAACGATGTTCCGATTTAGAGTAAAATAGACGATTAAGCATCTATTTCGCAGTGTACCTTGCGTGTAAAACTCAAGTCTCCAAAACAGCAGTCCACAAACTAATGGGAGACGTCATTGTCCACTTCTTTAAAAACGTCTATGCTAAAGCCTCCGATGGAGCTGTTGTAGTCCTTGACTCTGTGGCACCCCCTAGTGAGTTGCTGGAGATGTGTGAGCAGAGCCTGGACGAGATGGGAGCTGTCTTTGATGACGCCAATGTTTACATGCTTCACATGATGTACCAGGCCATGGGGGTCTGTCTTTACATGGAAGATCCCGAGGGGGCCATCAGATACGGCGAGAAGATCCTCAAACACTACTGGTAATGAGAAACTTTGAAGGGCTTTTACTGATGTCTATGGCAATGTTTTTAAAGACTTATTTTCTTGTCTAAAAAACAGCTAAGTTATGTATGCTCTCTTTCCATTTCAGCAAGCTGTATCCACCCTACTCTTTAAATGTGTCCTCCATGTACCTGAAGTTGGGCAGACTGTACATGGGCATGGAGAGGTACTCAGTGGGAGTCACTGCTCTCAAGAAGGTAAAATGACCTGCTGACCTTTTACAGCATACTTTTATATTAACATAAAGCATTTCAGAGGCCCTTTTAATACAGTGAACAACTTCAAATTCATTATGAAAATATAATATACATTTTGGTAACGACGCTATAACTTTTTCCAATAACTTAAGAGGAAACAAAATGTTTTTTTTCCCAAAAACCATGTTTTAATTTAACAATAGAAGCCATAAAAGTAAACTGTCTAACGGGTAATAATTACCAATCGATAGATGCCAGCATTTTTACTGGGTTTAACATGCTGTAAGATGTTTGTACATTTATATATTTCTTCTTCACAGGCAATGGCCATAATGGAGGTGGCTCATGGGAAGAATCACTCTTACTTGACAGAGCTGCGCAAAGAAATTACCAAAAGATGACCAAAAAAGAATGGAATCAATACAGAACTTTACAGAACTGAAGGCCCTTTCTGATCTCTTTGGACCTGAAGGAAAGATACTAGCGTTCATGTTTTTATGCAAAGTTTCAAGCAATAAAAATATGTTGGGACTTTTGGATTTTTTCCGTCAGAGAATGTATGTAAGAACTTTTATGTTTTTTGAATCCAGGATCATTTTTGCTTTTTCAGCACTAAATCTAAATCTGCTTTTTACTCATGTTGCTCTGAGCCAATACATTTCTACGATACTGTGAGAGACCCTCTTCAACGCGTACATTAGCAAAATAAAGGGAATGATTGAAGCATTCCAGAATAAATTCCTTTGTGGCCAAAGTCTTAAAGAAAATAAGGCTTTATTGCATAATAAGCAAGTACGACAGGTTCATACATGTCTGGGGAGAGAAAAACAAAAGACTTTATGCACTGAAAACGCATATACAAAACATATGTACACATACTTTGAAACGTATTTGGGAGTTCTGCCACAAAGAAAAATGAAGGGGAAAAATTAAATATAAACAAACAGTGGAATGCCGTGTGAGAAAATACTGTCACAAAGAGAACAGAAGTGCAAAGAAACACTTATATGTCAAGAGAGCATAAAGCTTATACTTATTTGAGAATATATACATTGAAATATAAAAATGCATGCATAGTTTATTATGTTGCGGTATTTTTAGGGTACCAAGTCAAAAGAAGAAACTATATAAAACATTTGTAGAAATCTTTTCTCACATGCCCATTATTTACAAAGTTAATCTGGACATGGCTGGCTTTGCATCACGATTCAGAAGAATAAAAAAGAAGATTGAATGTGAAAGAAGTGAAGTTTTATAAACAGGAACCAGGAACATAGCATCAAAGTCATCTTATAGGCTTGGATCAGATTTGTATTAAAGGCCATTGTTTTTTAGTCACTTGTGTCATGCGTCCTTTCAAAACCAAACCACCTCATACTGCCAAATCTTTACCTCAGAGGTAGGCAAACGATTTGAAATGTTGTAACAAACACAAATTATTAAATACCGATTTTAAGATTTAATCTTTGGAGGTAAAAAAAAGGATTTCACTTTTGAAAACACATCCAGGACCCTAAAACAAGGAAACGTCTTCTCCTTGTTTCAATAAGGCACAATAACACAGCGTGTACAGTGTTTGCTGTATCAGAAACAATTCTCTATTTACTGCGAGTGCCATGATATCTATAAATGTTCTCCATTTATTTGGACAAATACTTTTTAGACTTTTGAAATGCTTCTCAGTGGGAAAAGTGACAAAACACAGTGGATCACAGGGAGCTGTGATTCAAGAAACAAGTGACTGTTAAAAAGCACTTTGTTTGTTTGCATGTGGAGCAGGACCTTAGAAGAAATGTGTCAAGGAAAGCGTTAGTGACACTTTTGGAATTGACGGAGAAGGCTTTCCAAAAGAACTACGGTAAAAATTAAGACGTGTTCAAGGAGGAAAAATGTAAATCCACAGGGAAAGGATCGACATGCTTGTTAATGCTCCGTTTAATGGTGAAGGCGAAAACAATGTTGATAGAAATAAATAAAAACATTTGTTACAATGTTAAAGTAAATATTTGCTGTATTATTAATACTCTGTCAGAAATAAAAGGAACATTTTAGAAGAGTGGTTTAAGGAATACTTTTGTTTGGCAAACTCTTTCAGAGTGTAGAAAATAGAAGTAATACTGCTGCCACCTACTGTTCATGCAGCATAGTGCCATTTCTAATCATGGCTGAATTATGAATGAGACATGTATCAGGCAGGCCACCTTTTCAACCTGAAACCAGAGATCTGATGGTATGAAATCTCCAGGACAGACACCTGCATGTGGAGAACGCACACACGTGCATTCTCCATGAGCAGGTCCAAGAGTAAAACCCAGGGGGCAAAGAACCACATGAGGAGAAATGGTGTTCGATTTCTATACAAGCCTACACAAATCCTTGCCTCCCTTGAGGTGATTTTGTCTGGAAAATCCACCAGATTCTCCACAAACTGCAACATATAAAACTGAGCATGAATCTCTGTATTTGTTTCCAACCAGTGACCGGTAACACTGCATCTGTTGTACAGTTCTCATGCCAATTCGAAGTACCATTGGAGTTCCATTCAGCCACGTCATGTAAGGTCAAAGGTCAGCATCCCGGCTCAGATGAGGCGGGAGTTCTTCAGGAACTGAATGAGCACCTGATAGACAAACTTATACTGGGAGATGGTCTGCACCATCAGCATCCTCTGCTGCCTCAGCTCCGACAACATGGTGGGAACCTCCACAGGCTGAAGGGAAGGAGACAAAATAAGGTGATTGGAAAATTAGAAATGAATAGAGATGAGAAGAAGTGTGTGTCTGTTGAGCTACAATATTCTGAGCAGTGACAAGCCCATATGCATCATGGTTATAAAAACACACACCCAGAGTTACACTGATAGAGGATACTATCTGGATATCTGTATTTGCCTAGTGTGCATACTTGGATGAGAAAGTGTTTATAGTTTTGCAAATGATGTGTATCCTTTAAACAAATATACTTCCAATGTTTTTTTAATGTCACAAGGTCTGCAAAATCTTGATTTGCAAAACAAATGACCTGTGTTTGTGATTTTTACCCACATAAAGTAAGGTGTGTATTCATTAGGATATTTGTAATACATAATTGACCCTCCCTGAAAGTGCACCCACCTCATTGTGCTCCAGGCAGCTGATCATGAGCTCAGTGAGGATGACCACTCCGGTGCGACCCACCCCGGCGCTGCAGTGGACCACCACAGGGGGGTTGAGGCTCTTTGAGGTGTCCAGCATGGAGTTGGTGTGCCTCCTAACAGACTGGATCTCCTCTAGGTAGGCTGTAGAGAGATTCAGTTTAATCAGAAACGGGTTTATTACCAGGTAGGTTCACACGTACGAGGAATTTGACTAGGTGTCGTGGTGCATACATAAAAGTAATAAAAAACAAAAATGTAAAAAAATTAACACAGATAGCGAACTATATTAAGAATACTGTAATAAAAAATATAGTAAGATAGCAATAAAGTAAAGTAGTAATTTACATTGAAATAGAATGCAATAAATTATAGAATATAAAATATGTACAGTAAGCAATATTGTCAACATTGTGTGCATTAATGTGTGTATGGGTTGCTTTGTTGCTCCCATGCTGCTTCTAAAGGAAACACATTTACACACTGCGCTGTCTTTTGGAGAGGGTAAGTTTAACTCAGTTTTCAAATCTGCAGTAAGGGAAGAAGCTAACGTGACTAATAAAAAGTAAAACCACGAATTACAGTTTTTTGACCTCTTGGATTAGATGTTCTGGTAGTTTTACCCCCTGCTATCAGTCTTCATGCTAGGCTGCTAACTGCCTGCTGGCTCTGGCTACTTTTTCACAACATGAATGACTGTAATATCTCTTTTCAAGAAAGTACATTTCACAAAATGTCCTAGAGTAATAAAGGCATTTAGATTGTTTTTCACTTCTTGGTAAGTCTTAATAAAAGGTACATTCACACAGACTGAGGATGATGATGATAATGAAGACACTCACAGAGGAATCCCTGGACATATTCGGGACAGCCCTGCTCAGGCCAGTCAGTGTACTGCAGGTGCCAGACCGTCCTCTCCTGGCCGGAGAGCAGGTGTTTGACCTTTAACCCCGTGGTGGCGTAGCAGCCCGAGTCCGTGCGGAATTTTGTGGTCACCTTGAATTTACCATGAGTGGCCGAGTTGTGTTTGGAGCCCAGTTTTGGCCAGTAGCGGTGACTCTTGGGCCTGCCACCCTCCTGCACGGAACAAGAGAAGAAGGGGATGGTGATTCTCATGACACTTAAACATTAAAACAGAAACACAGTTACACACTCTCACTGTTATCCTATTTCTCCCACAGAAAGATACCAGCTGTTGGCGGGTGAAAAATATCCACATCTGCGTGTGCCATGTGTGGGCATATGTGTGTATGTACCTCCTCGGCAGTAACCATGGCGATGACGTTGACCCCTTGCTCCCACACCATCTGCCAGAAATCGGCACAGGTGTTGGCTAACGGGCCCTGGGTGGCGATGTAGTGCCACTCCTCCCCTCTGATCATCACCTGGGAAAACACACACACACAAATAAAGGATCAATTAGTGTTCTGTTGCGCATGGAGAACACAGCGACAGTAGCAAGGTGATTATTAGTATTATCGACTAATCTCCTGATGGTTTCTTGATTCATTCATTAATGATGATTCCAGTTTCTCAAAATCTGTAAGGGTGGCCCTGAATATATCTGGTTTTGTCTATCCTAAACCCAAAAACACTCAGTTGAATGTGAAATCCCTTACTTGAAATGTGTTTAAATAAAAGATTACATAAAAAATGTATAATAAAGTATTTTTCCGTCGAACAACTAATCAATTAATCAGCTATTTGTTGCATCTCTTTACTGCAATGTGAACAATAATCAGCCTACCTATGGGTAAACAAGCTAACTTGCTTATTAAAAAAACACATTTTAATTTTATAAAAGCTCACATTTAAGCCAGAAATTTGTCAATTCAAATGTTCAAATATAGATGTTAAAAGCGTATTTACACGGCTTGACAGAACCACCACCGGAGGGCAGTATAAACATCATTTCCCACCACAGACTGAGTCTTTTCTCTCATTTCTAAAACCCTCTTCTTTAGCTTTCCTTTGGTCTCCTTCATTAATAATCACAAGGCAACACACAGCATCTTCAATTCAGCCCGACCACAGAGGGCCATTACATAATGAGCACGTCCCGGCTAATTCCTCAGGCCACCTTGTGACTGTAAACACTGTATTAGGAGAGGGATGGGGAATAAACCAGGCCCTTTGTTCTTTGGCAGTTACCTTAAATGACGGGAGAAAGTAAGAGGGTTACACGGCGATAGGCAGCGACTCAGTGCTGCTCTGGTGAAATGCAAAGTCATGCAGACACACGAGCTTGTGGCACACACTGTTTGCAACTAAGCATGAATAGAGGGCTAGTGAGAGCAGCTCAGGTTGACTTAAGAGGGTTTGGAGTTTGGACCACATTCTTTGGGAATTCCACGAGCTCTGAGAGCTTAAAAAGGCCCAAACAGCCTTCGACAGATTCCTTTCATCCTTTCCTCCAAACCCTTCGCCGCTTAGGAATGACCACAACAAAGACGAGCAGGGAGCTCAATGTGTCGAGTTTATGCTCTGCGTTTCAATTTGTGGTGTATGATGTGGGTGTTGCTAAGCACTTTGAGACTAATTGTTCAGCCAAACACATGAACTTGGATCTTATAAAACACTTGTTGAAATATGGCTATTTTAAAAGTCAATATTATTATTTTCCTCTATACTTGCTCACACAGAAATCTGACAGATGATAAAGTCTAATGTCTAATTATTTTTGTATTTACTTTTTAATATTTACTTGCACTATATTTTTCTGGTTTTCTGTTTTATTGTGTTGCAATGTTGGAGAAGCCTGTGACCTAAGACTTTCATCGACATAACTACTCTAGCTATGTTCGTTTGACAAATAAAGAATCTTGAACCCTAATGTAAAATCCAGGCTGTCATTTTGAAGCAGTTAGCATTCAATGGAGTATGATGTTATCTTTCTAAAGAGGCAGTTGTTATATTCGTTCATAAAATTGTTCACAAATTAACAAAACAAATATTACTCTTGGCTAAGGAGAAAACGTTTATCGATTAAAGCAACTGGGTGAATGTATCAAGACACAAGTGAAGGATGTGACAAAGAAAGAACTGTAACTTTCTCATTTAACTGTTTTGAGGTCTGACTGGCGCTGGTTTATCTATGAACCAACTAATGATCAAATGTTTGCTTTATAGATTTAGCTACTTAAGCTAAATAAGCAATGTTCCTGAAAAATGTATTGCCACAAAGGCTAGTTTTTCTTGGCTCGTGAGAAAGCTTACATTTTGGTTTTCATAGGTCTATGAATAATAAAACTACAAGTCTGATCTATAATCATCCTTTCAAATTCCCTTTTTCATTAGTCCGCGACTTCTCGAGCGCACCTTGATATGCGAGGCGTTGATGTAGCCCGTGTTGTTCTCCTTGTTTGGCACAAGCTCGACTCGATTCTCCTCGTAGGGGACGACGTCACGGAAACGGTTGCGCTCCGTGTTTTCGGGCAGAGTTGCCGTGGTGAGCACACAGTCTGTCCTCTTCTTGGGCACCTGCTCATACTCAGTGAAGACCCGCTCCTCTTCCAGCTTCAACTCCAAGGTCTTACACTGGAGAGACAGGGAGAGAAAGAGAGAAAGGAGAGGGTGTTAGTCATTCAGAGGT